TGGCCGAGTGGTAGAGTCAACAGCGTCTGCCTTTATGTACTTGTTTTTGTTTTGTTTTTAAACTTGTAGGGGTGAGGAAGAGAAGCTCGCTTGACAGGACGTTAGACAGAGTACTGTATACTTATATAGCTTGGTTAGGACAGAGGAAGTAATTGATTTTTTTTTCAGGATTAGCCCTCCCTGGCACAGGTCACTGACCCACATCAGGGCCGGGGGGGGGGGGAAATGTAATAATAATAACAATAATAATAATTAGTTCATAGTAAATAAAAGTTATTATAAAAATAATAATAACACCACCACTACTACAACTACTACTACTACTACAACTACTACTACTACTACTACTACTACTACTACTACTACTACTACTAATAATAATAATAATAATAATAATAATAATAATAATAATAATAAAGAAATTCAAAAATGAAAAAAGATCAATAGTGAGAAACAATATATGTATGTTGTGTTGTCAATAATAAGAGAAACAATTGAGACCCTGCAATTGTGTGTAAATGAGGCAGACAGTCAGATCAGCAACCTGGGACTTGGTAAAAGTTTCCGTGATGCCATATGGCAGCAGGGTCTACCATTAGACAACACATATGCTTCCAATATGTTGATTAAATAATTAATATTAACTGAGATAATAAAGACCTTGACTAGTTGAAGCACAAAATTCAAACATGGGTAGGGGATACAGTATATAGTATTTGATGTTTCTTGGTGTGAGTTGAATTATTAACTGGTGATGTTATTACAGGTGTGTTGAAGGGCTGCCATGGACGACATGTTTGGCAACAGCAGCAGTGAGACAGTTATGGAGGCTGACCTCTCACGAGTCCTCGCCAACATCAACCAAGACATTGCTGACCTCCAGTACCACCAACTGCAGAGAGACCCCCTTCAGCCACATCACCATAAGACTCACACAGCTGCCAGGACGACACATGCACAACAATCACAGCCACTAAGTGCCACCACTAATGTGGCACATATTGTCAATAGACCCTTGTTCACCAAGACTTATGCCCTGCCGCTCTCATCTCCCACATTACGAGAAGACTCGACCCATCTTGGTAACCCACTGAGGATGACCTGCGGGAGTACAGTTGCCCATGTTCCAGTCATCACAAGTGTGGGCATGCAGGTAGAGGGAAGAGGAGGCCCAGTGCCTCACCCCAGGTCCCTACACAAGGCTGGAGGTAGTGGAGGGGCACTCAGACACACACAGTCGGCAGTGGTGGGTCGTGTGTGTCACTCCCAGACCCCTCGACCCAGGGCTCTCAGTACCGGTGCCACCACACACTACCACAACGAGATGATCCAGCAGCAGCAGCACTCCCACCACCAGGTCCATTCACAGCACGAATTTTACCAACGGGTGCAACATGAGCACAGTTATGTTAATCTACAGCCAACTCATTTACATCACCAACAAAAGCAGCCACTACAGGTGCAGGTACACATAGAACAACAAACAGGACGTCCTGTGTCAACATATGACAACATCCAAGGCTCATCAACACAGGTCCCTCATTCATCCACGCCCCGTCCTCCACAGTCAGCACCACCCGTTTTACAGGCCACCCCAGCCTTCCCTCACATTCTGGTCTCACCCACACCTCACACAACTGTACCAAGGTATATGAATGTTCCTCTTCTTGGTAGCCTCAGCCCTGCTGCCTCTCATAAAGAACACTCTAAAGCCCAGGTATGTGGAGGAAGCAACAGCGCCCCTTCAACTCCCGGAGGGGGAAGCAGGGGCAAGTCACAGCATCTGCACCACAGCTACATTGAGTTGTGGTCTGGTGCACATGAAGAACGTGACTCACTCAGTGACAGCGAATGTGAGGAGTTACGGCGCTCATTCCAGGAACCACAGGCTCCATCCCACCGACCCTGTGCAGGTTATGTAGAAATGAGTTCACCATACGTTAAAAGCCCTCAAATGACAAGCCCTTTTAATGGCTCTGTGCTAGCTGACCTAGCAACCAAATTAGCTTCATATGCAGGTCATCAACCAAGGAACATATTTTGTCCCTTTTGCCCACGTTACTTTGGCTATGAAAAAAGTCTTGGGAGCCACATTCATAAGGTGCACAGAGAAGAATTGAATGCCATGGTGGAAAATCGTTGTGGTGATATACAGCTTCAGTTTTGCCCCATTTGTCAGGCTCAGTTCTTCAACACCACTGTTCTTCCTAAACATCTTATAGATTTCCACAGGGCATCAGTTATAGAAATCCTTGAGAAGAACAACTGTATTATGTCTGATGCAGTAGGCATCCAGTGCCCCTTTTGTGTTAAGAAAGTTCCTCATGGAAAAACTGGTGAACAAGTGCTCCTTTACCACATGCAACAGCTTCATCTCTCCGACTATGAAAACATGGTCAAGGCTAAATTCCGTCCCTACAATGGGGGCAGCCATGAGTCTTTGAAGAGTATATCATCAAATGATGTGTCTCAATTGGCACCCTTCCAGCCTGGTGTCACATCTACTCCTGGCCTTAGTAATAAGCTAGGTACTATGGCTCTCACCACAGATGCACGGCGGAGTGTTGAGGCTCTCAATCTGGACATGACGTGGTCCTCACATGGCAGGACGTTCAGAGCACCAATTCCTCCTCAGTCTCCAGCTGAAGGTAAATCACAGGAAGAAGAAACCCAATCAAATAAACAGTTACCTTCATCAATCAGTAAGGGAATTTTGCGTCACCAAAGTGGCCTCAATAGAAAGCCAAGTGTTAAACGAGAACTACGCTTCAGTGTACCACCAGTGACCAGTGAGGAAATATTTGTGCCAGAGTCACCGGAGCAGACAACTCCTGAACGTTTGACTGACAATATGCAGCAGCAACAGCAGCAAAACCTACAGCAGCAACAGCAACAAAACCTACAGCAGCAACAGCAACAAAACATACAGCAGCCACAGCAACAAAACATACAGCAGTCACAGCAGCAAAACCTACAGCAGCCACAGCAACAGCAGCATCAAGACGTTCAGAATGGATCCAAAAGAATTATTCCTATACGTGTTGACAGCTTATCTGCTGCAGATTTCATGGACCTGAATGAGAAGTCTAATGGACAGCGCAAGAGAAGACGGTTGGGTCTTGGTCTTCGTTCTAGGAAAGCCTTCAAGAAAAAAGATAAAGAAAACACGGGGGAGCGTGAAATAAGCCACCTAGCAACTGGAACTGGCAAAATTATCAATGGTGCCAAGAGACGGGTCACTGTAACCCCCCATGTCACCGAGAGTGACATCGTCCCCACACCAGCCACCAGGATTTTCCGACGACCAAAACCGGTGGCTATTCCTCGTGTTCCTCAGCTCCAGCCATCTAGTGACCAGGTTCCTGCTCTTACAGGTGCAGAAAATGTCCCAAAGCACAATGACCACCAAACATCCTCAGAGAAAGAAGAGATTGGTTCTGATGCATCACCATTCACTAATCTGAAGCTTTACTCCCCACTACGTATGTTCCGATGTAACAGTTGTCGAGTAAAGTTTTGTGATAATGAGTCTTTGAGTGGACACATTGGGTCACGCCATAGAGGCCTGTTGTACCTCTTGCGGCCACAGTATGGCTGTGGTGTGTGCTCAGCAAGGTTCTTTGAGAATAAATACCTTGTTAAGCACTGTCTGCAGCACCACACCTCCCTGCTAGAGATTCGTAGTCCACGTAAACACAAGATAACCATATACCGATTTACTCAAGACTGACTATATTTCTAAACTGTAGTGTTAAAATGTACTGTACTATGCTAAAAATATCTTCTAAACAGTACAGTAAGTGCTTATAATAAGTTCAAGTGAAAAGGTACTCATGAATTTGGCCCAAGCTGAATTACATTTACAAAATGTGCTACCTATATTATACAATAAGCAGTCTCTGATTAATAAACTCTGGTTTAAGAATATCTAAAGAAAAAAAAGTCCCATGTTTTGATGTACAAGGTACTGTACAAAAAATCACAAGTCAATTTTTTTTTCACAGTATCAAAAGATGTTGAGGGACTAACAGGCATATTCAGTGTATCCTATTCTAGACCTGTTCACTTTATGAAAGACTATGAAACTAAAAGCAATGTACAGTACAGTACTGTACACCTATTATATTAAAGTGATTTACTAACCTGAAAATTAAACTGGCAAGTTATTCAGGAAAATTAATAACCAAATGCACTGTAAAGAGCTACATACAGAAAAATTTCTGTCAGCTTCAAGAGTGATCGAAGGAGTGGTTGTTAAGATTCAATGTAACAAAGTGTAAGAGGATGCACCTAGGTCATGCCAACAGGAAAGAGGCATATCACATGATCCAACAGGACAAAGAAACAGTATTAACAGAAACCGAATGTGAAATGAACCTGTGTGTACATGTATGTTGACAGTGATCTTAAAAGTTCTTGGTCCATTGTGAGAAAAAGAAGAATCAAACAACTAAGCTAGTAGGTCTTACAAGGTCATTCAGATATCTAGACTGTACTTGCCAACAGTGTGTAACGGAGACGTGACCGACCACCCAAGTCCCTAACAAGCCGACCAGTGGCGAAGAGAATAAAAGTAAAAAGTTAGAATACAAACCCGGGTTTCCTGGGTCCTAGGTCATCCATGTTACCTAGGCCTCACTATAGACTATGTCAAATTTTGCTTCCACACACAAACTCGGCTAAATGTTTGTTTATGTTTTCCAGAACAAAACTTGTAAATTGCGGGACTGCCTTTTTAAGTTCATGTAATACCGTACTGTCCTTCCTAATTTAGTAATTTTTTTGCATGAATAAAAACAAATTATAGTTATATATATATATATATATATATATATATATATATATATATATATATATATATATATATATATATATATATATATATATATATATATATATATATATATATATATATATATATATATAATGTTTTGTATACACAAAGTTCATAAATGAATGCAGTTTTTCGTTTTTGTAAGATAACAGTACTGTACTTTTACTATATTAGCCAATTCAATATTTTGTGTAATGTAATAAACCATAGCACGGACTGTACATAAATAACTTGATTCATCTTCAAGTTTCCCTGTATATAACTGGATGTGTTGTTATTGTCATGCCCGTGCTTTGTGCCATAATAAACAAAGAAATATTTTTATTCAACTGATTTTACCTTTCCACTGGTAGGGGTAGTCATCAACATTTCAGACTTGCTCTACAAAAAAAAATTACACTTAACATCTGAGCTCCTTCACCCATCCCACAAATCAACATCCAGTAGTACTGTATTATTGGAATAGTCAAAGGACCTTAGAGTGAATATGACGTTTCCAGGGGCGATAAAGCTCTCAGGAGTGGTGGAGCCCCCAGGGGCCCTCCCTAGTGGTGGCAGCGATCCAAGGGGCCCTGTCAAAGGCGGTGGCGCCCCTAGGGCCCCTTCCAAGAGTAGTGGAGTGCCCAGGACTACCTCTTAGCAGTGACTGCACTCTCAGGGGCCCTCCCAAAGGTGGCGGTGCTCCCAGGGTACCTCATATGTGGAGGCACCCCATGGGCCATTCCAGGGTCGGTGGCGTCCCCAGCGGTCCTCCTTAGGGGCGGGAGCGCACCTAAGGGCCCTCCTAGGGGCGGTGGCGCCCCCTCCCACGAATCCTAGAACTTGCTTGATCGTGGTGTTGTACATATTGCATACGCCCAGCAATCCCTTAGCTAACTGTGATTGGTTGACAAATGTAAATCCACCAAATTATAGCCAAAAGGAGAACAGAGCAGTCAGTCAGCACAACACCCCAACTTATTTTTTCCTGTTGGATATTTATTCTCCTTTTCATTATTCAGGATGAGATGATACTGGAAGATGGGCATTGTATTTATTTAATGTCATATCTCCCAGAGTTCTAAGTAGTACAAAACCAACTTCCCCAGGAGACTTCCCAGCAGTGGTGGTGCATCTAGGGGCCCTCCCAGGGATGAAAGCGCCTCCATGGGCCTTCTTTAGGGGCAGAAGCACCCCCAGGGGCCCTCCATAGGGGTGGCAGCGCCCACAGGGGCGCTACCTAAGGGGTGGTTTAGCCCAGAGGTGACCTCCCAGGGGTCGTGGCACCTGTAGGGGCCCTCCCAGAGACGGCGGCGCCCCCAGGAGCCTTCCTTGGAGACAGCGGCGTCCCCTGGCTCCATCCCAGGGACGGTAGCTCCAGGGACCCTTCCAAGTGTGTTGTGCCACCAGAGGCCCTCCCAAATGCGCAGGCGCACTTATGGGCCATTTCAGGTGCGGTGGCGCCGCCAGGAGCCCTCCTTAGGGGCAGGAACGCACCTAAGGTCCCTCGCAGGGGCATTGGCGCCCCCTCCCACGAGTCCTGTAGCTTGCTTGGTCGTGGTGTCGTACATATTGCATATGTCCAGCAATTCCTAACTTAACTGTGATTGGTCGACTAAGATGTAAATACACCAAATTATAGCCAATAGGAGAACAGAGAAGTCAGTCAGCACAACACCCGAACTTATGTTTTCCTGTTGGATATTTATTCTTCTTTTCCTTATTCAGAATGCGATGATACTAGAAGATGGGCGGTGTATTTATTTAACGTCAAATCTACCAGAGTTACATAGGTGCAAAAACAACTTCCCCTAGGGGACCTCCCGCTGATGGTGGAACGCCTAGGAGCTATCCCAGAGGCGATGGCGCCCCAAGGGGCCCTCCCACGGATTATGGTGCATCCAGGATCTATTCCAGGGGCGACGGGCCCCCAGGGGCCCTCCTAAGGAGCAGCAGCACCCCTTGAGGCCCCCCTAGAGGCGGTGTCGTTCCCAGAGACTTCCCAGGGGCGGAAATACCCCCCAGGATCCCTCCATAGGGGGGACGGTGATCCCAGGGGCCATACCAGGGGTGAAGACACCCCCAGGGCCGTCCCAAGAGCGGTGGCGCTCCCAGGAGCTATCCCAGGGGCGAAGTCGTCCCAAGGGGCCCTTCTTATGGGCAGCAACATCCCCAGAGGCCTTCACAGGGGCCCTCATAGGGGGGCGGTGCTCTCAGGAACCTCCCAGTGAAGGCATCGCACCCAGGGGCCTTCGTATGTGATGCGGCGTCCCCAGGGGCCCTCCTTACAGGCGGGAGCGCCCCCTATTAGGAGTCCTCTTGCTTGCTTGGTCGTGGTGTCGTACATATTGCAGACGTCCAGCAAACCCTTACTTAACTGTGATTGGTGGACTAAAATGTTAAACACCAAATTTCAGCCAATAGGAGAACAGAGCAGCCAGTCAGCACAACACCCCAACTTATGTTTTCCTGTTGGATATTTAGTCTCCTTTTCATTATTCAGGATGCAATGATACTGTTAGATGGGCGTTGTATTTATTTAATGTCATATCTCCCAGAGTTCTAAGTAATACAAAACCAACTTCCCCAGGAGACTTCCCAGCAGTGGTGGTGCATCTAGGGGCCCTCCCAAGGGCGACGGCGCCTCCAGGGGCCTACGTTAGGGGCAGAAGAACCCCAAGGGGCCCTCCTTAGGGTTGGCAGTGCCCCTCCTTAGGGGTGGCAGTGACCCCAGGGGCCCTACCCAAGGGGTGGTAAAGCCCAGAGGAGACCTCCCAGGGGCTGTGGCACCTGTAGGGTCCCTCCCAGAGGCGGCGGCGCCGCCAGGAGCCTTCCTTGGAGGCAGCGGCGTCCCCTGGCTCCCTCCCAGGGACGGTAGCTCCAGGGACCCTCCCAAATGTGTCTGTGTCACCAGGGGCCCTCCCACATGCGCAGGCACGCTCATGAGCCATTTCAGGGGGGGTGGCGCCCCCAGGAGCCTTCCTTAGGGGCAGGATCGCACCTAAGGTCCCTCGCAGGGGCATTGGCACACCCTCCCACGAGTCCTAGAGCTTGCTTGGTCGTGGTATTGTACATATAGCATACGTCCAGCAATCCCTTACATAACTGTGATTGGTGGACTAAAATGTTAAACCCCAAATTACAGCCAATAGGAGAACAGAGAAGTCAGTCAGCACAACACCCGAACTTATGTTTTCCTGTTGGATATTTATTCTTCTTTTCCTTATTCAAAATGCGATGATACTGGAAGATGGGCAGTGTATTTATTTAACATCAAATCTACCAGAGTTCCATTAGTGCAAAAACAATGTCCCCTAGGGGACCTCCCGCTGATGGTGGAACGCCTAGGAGCTATCCCAGAGGCGACGGCACCCCCAGGGGCCGTCCCGCGGATGGTGGCGCACCCAGGATCTATTCCAGGGGCGACAGGCCCCCAGGGGCCCTCCTTAGGGGCAGCAGCACCCATTGAAACCCCCCTAGAGGCGATGACGTTCCCAGATACTTCCCAGGGGCCCTCCCTGGGGCGGTAATACCCCCAAGATCCCTTCATAGGGGGCATGGTGATCCCAGGGGCCCTACCAGGGGTATTAGACATCCCCACGGGCCGTCCCAAGAGCGGTGGCGCTCCAAGGAGCTATCCCAGGGGCGAAGTCGTCCCAAGGGGCCCTTCTTATGGGCAGCAACATCCCCAGAGGCATTCACAGGGGGCCCTCATAAGGGCGGTGGTGCACTCAGGAACCTCCCAGTAAAGGCATTGCACCCAGGGGCCTTCCTATGGGATGCGTCGAACCCCAGGGGCCCTCCTTATAGGAGGGAGCGCCCCCTATTAGGAGTCCTCTTGCTTGCTTGGTCGTGGTGTCATACATATTGCATACGTCCAGCAATCCCTTACTTAACTGTGATTGGTGGACTAAAATGTTAAACCCCAAATTTCAGCCAATAGGAGAACAGAGCAGTCAGTCAGCACAACACCCCAACTTATGTTTTCCTGTTGGATATTTATTCTCCTTTTCATTATTCAGGATGCGATGATACTGGAAGATGGGCATTGTATATATTTAATGTCATACCTCCCAGAGTTCTAAGAAGTACAAAACCAACTTCCCCAGGAGACTTGCCAGCAGTGGTGGTGCATCTAGGGGCCCTCCCAAGGGCGACGGCGCTTTCAGGGGCCTTCGTTAGGGGCAGAAGCACCCCGAGGGGCCCTCCTTAGGGGTGGCAGCGCCCCTCCTTACCCGTGGCAGTGACCCCAGGGGCCCTACCCAAGGGGTGGTATAGCCCTGAGGTGACCTCCCAGGGGTCGTGGCACCTGTAGGGGCCCTCCCAGAGACGGCGGCGCCCCCAGGAGCCTTTCTTGGAGGCAGCGGCGTCCCCTGGCTCCCTCCCAGGGAAGGTAGCTCCACGGACCCTCCCAAGTGTGTTGTGCCACCAGGGGCCCACCCAAATGCGCAGGTGCACTTATGAGCCATTTCAGGGAGGGTGGCGCCCCCAGGAGCCCTCCTTAGGGGCAGAAACGCACCAAAGGTGCCTCGCAGGGGCATTGGCGCCCCCTCCCACGAGTCCTAGAGCTTGCTTGGTCGTGGTGTCATACATATTGCATACGTCCAGCAATCCCTAACTTAACTGTGATTGGTCGACAAAAATGTAAATACACCAAATTATAGCCAATAGGAGAACAGAGAAGTCAGTCAGCACAACACCCCAACTTATGTTTTCCTGTTGGATATTTATTCTTCTTTTCATTATTCAGGATGAGATGATACTGGAAGATGGGCATTGTATATATTTAATGTCATATCTCCCAGAGTTCTAAGTAGTACAAAACCAACTTCCCCAGGAGACTTCCCAGCAGTGGTGGTGCATCTAGGGGCCCTCCCAAGGGCGACGGCGCCGGCAGGAGCCTTCCTTGGAGGCAGCGGCGTCCCCTGGCTCCCTCCCAGGGACGGTAGCTCCAGGGACCCTCCCAAGTGTGTATGTGTCACCAGGGGCCCTCCCAAATGCGCAGGCGCGCTCATGAGCCATTTCAAGGGGGACTAGCACCCCCAGGAGCCCTCCTTAGGGGCAGGAACGCACCTAAGGTCCCTCGCAGGGGCATTGGCGCCCCCTCCCACGAGTCCTAGAGCTTGCTTGGTCGTGGTATTGTACATATTGCATACGTCCAGCAATCCCTTACATAACTGTGATTGGTGGACTAAAATGTTAAACCCCAAATTACAGCCAATAGGAGAACAGAGAAGTCAGTCAGCACAACACCCGAACTTATGTTTTCCTGTTGGATATTTATTCTCCTTTTCATTTTTCAGGATGAGATGATACTGGAAGATGGGCGTTGTATTTATTTAATG